GTCCACGCAGCTCCCGTTCGAGCATATGCATTGAGTTGCACATAGCGCCAACCACACACACACACACACACACACACACACACACACACACACACACACACACACACACCACACACACACACACACACACACACACACACACACACACACACACACACACACACACACACACACACACACACACACACACACAAACACACACACACACACAAACACACACACACACACACACACACACACACACACACACACACACACACACACACATTGTATGAGAGAGGTTCCAGGTTGAATTGAGGCGAATATTTGTAATGTTCAGAGGTTGTTGTGTTTAATATTCATGAGAATATTTGTCATTGTTCAAATCAATCAATCAATGTTTATTTATATAGCCCAATATCACAAATGTTACATTTGTCTCAGTGGACTTTACAGTTTGTACAAAATATCAGTATGACAATATGACACCCTCTGTCCTTAGACCCTCACATCGTACAAGGAAAAACTTCCAAAGAAAACCCACAGTTTAAAGGGAAAAATGGGAGAAACCTCAGGGAGAGCAACAGAGGAGGGATCCCTCTCCCAGGACGGACAGACGTGCAATAGATGCCGTGTGTAAATTGAAAAGATAATACATTTGCAACATAGGTAGTCCAAATGTTTGGAAATGCATGTGTGTATAATAGGAAAATGAATCCACGAGGATATCCATCCAGGACCTATGATCCAGGACCACAGCCACGACTCAAGATCCAGGGCTCGCGATCCAGGACAGAGGAGCGCAAAGTTCATCCATGACTCCGGATCCTGGCGTATATAGACACCAAAAAGAAAGACATTTGGGGAAGCTGGGTTAATCGGAACATGAGAGTACACAGGTATAGACAGAGAGAAGGAAGAAGTAAGATGTCCCCCGACAAACTAAGCCTATATCAGCAAAACTAGGGGCTGAATCTAATCAGCCCTAACTATAAGCTTTATCAAAAATGAAGGTCTTAAGCGCACTCTTAAAAACGGATAGGGTGTCTGCCGCCCGAACACAAACTGGAAGCTGATTCCACAAATGTGGAGCTTGATAAGAAAAGGCTCTGGCTCCCATTGTACTTTTAGAGACTCTAGGAACAACCAACAACCCTGCATTCTTGGAACGCAATGCCCTAGTAGGACAGTAGGGTATAATGAGTTCTTTAAGGTAAGATGGCGCCTGCCCATTAAGGGCTTTGTAGGCGAGAAGAAGAATTTTAAATGCTATCCTGTGTTCTATAGGGAGCCAGTGTAAGGCAGCCAGAACAGGAGTAATGTGGTCCCTTTTCCTAACTCTGGTTAGTACACGAGCTGCAGCATTTTGAATCAGCTGAAGCGACTCGACTGACTTCTTGGTACACCCTGATAATAAGGAGTTACAATAATCCAGCCTTGAAGTAACAAATGCATGGACTAGTTTCTCTGCATTGTTTTGAGGCAAGATATGCCTGATTTTTGCAATGTTACGTAGATGGAAGTAGGCGGTCCTTGAAATTGATTTTATGTGGGCGTTAAATGATAAATCCTGATCAAATATAACACCAAGATTCCTTACAGTCTCACTGGAGGCCAAATTAATGCCATCCATAGTTAGTATATCCTTAGATAATTTGTTTCGTAGATTCTTCGGGCCAAGTACAATAACTTCAAAACTTCGTTTTGGTCGTGTTTAACATCAAAAAGTTTAAGGTCATCCACGTTTTTAAGTCCTTAAGGCAGTCTTGAATTTTATTTAGATGATTAATTTCATCAGGCTTGATTGATAAATATAGTTGAGTATCATCCGCATAACAATGAAAGTTTACAGAATGATTCCTTATAATATTGCCTAACGGAAGCATATATAATGTGAACAAAATAGGTCCGAGCACTGAGCCACTGAGCCCAAATGATAATAAACATTAGCATAAAGCATATTTGTCCACTAATATGTTGATAACAGTATTAAAAACTTGAAAAATATTCCTCTAAGGTACATTTAGAACAGATCAAAAATGTGCGATTAATTTGCGATTAATCGCGATTAACTATGGACAATCATGCGATTAATCGCGATTAAATATTTTAATCGACTGACAGCCCTAGTTAAAACATGTCTTCTAGGGAAGTTTTACAGTACACATTGAATTAATCAAATACTTTCATTTTAAATTGCACAAGAACATTTGTCTAATTTTCAAGTATTGCTTACCTTCATGTTCATTATATCTATCTATGATCTCCTTACAGCTCCTCGCAACATACGTGGACCTGTTCCTTAATTTCTCTAAATGTTCAAAGTTTGTCCCAAGGTTTAGAGACCTCTTAACATCCTTTGTGCCTGTGATGGTGAACACATACAGTATACTGAAAATATTATTCAAAAATAATAAACAATATAATAGTAGTGATATGGAAAAGTAGTGTATGAGCACAATAGACTTTTGTACATGCAGTTATTGTGTTTTTCATTATCTTTACCTGTTTGTATAGAGGTGCAGAATCCATGTTTCACTGACAGCAAAACAACCCAAAACAAAACTGTGAAGCATAACATCTCTGTAAAAAAACATATAAAATATATTAAACTAGATGCAATATGCTATAACACAAACAAGAATTAATCTAAAAATCATTGTCATTTAGTTAGATACAATTGTTTTATACAAAAGTCTCAAGGATTAAAAATGTAACAAAAGATTGTTTGCATTTCTATAACAAATAACAAATTATTCCATGCCCTATAAATCACAAGGTGTAAAGTTTATGATTTTAACTATAAAAAGTCTAAGACAGAAATCACATTTTCAAATAAAATTGAAACCTTTAAAGATAAAAGAAAAAAACATTTTATCAAAATCAAATCAATTAAAAAATGTCACATTCATATAGTAGCCTACATATAACTTCTCATGCATCTACAAATGTCCTAAACTAACCAGTTCCAAGTGAAGAAAGTTGTCCTTGCTGATAACATAGCTGAGGCCCATATTTATGAATACTATATTACATTTAAAATCTTGGAAAATTACAATAAAAGTTTCCGCGAGCATATGAAACAAAAATCTGAAGGATTAAAATCATATTACAAAATGTTTTTAATTGCTGCACAAACACCTGAAAGACATCAATTATATATTTACATAGTCAGTGTAGCAGCAAATCACTGTGCTCTTTAACAGTATGACCAAATGTAGATGTTTACCTCAATAGAATTGCACTGTGTTACCCTGGAGAGTAAATCCTGTCCTGGGTAAAAGGACATCCACTTTGCAGTTATAACAGGATATCTTTCCGTGTGTGTAAACATATATATATATTTGTTTTTGTATTTGTCTCCTGTGAGAGCAAAGTTTACAATTTGAGCGAATCTGACTGGCACAGATCATTAATCATCAACCAAATGTTATTTTTACTGTTACCACATTTTGAACTCTGTGTAACAAGATGCTTTCTTGTGTTGTGATTTCAACAAAATGTACAATCCTATAGTCTTTCACCTATAAATGGTTTTAATGATAGCAGCACAGTCTTTATGAAACAGTGCTACATCTTGCTTGTTTGATAAGAGATACAATGCAAATACAATACTCAAGACCTCTAACACAATAAATCATTTTGCCACTTAATTTCACTTTCCTGCGAGGGTGAAAATACATATTCCTCTTGAATCCTCTTGAATGTATCAGGCTTATTTTCTGACCAGTAAGACACAAACCATGATAACTTTGTTTGTCTCTGTGTGTCCCTCTCTGAACTATTTTTAGAGGTTAAACAGACACTGTGAGACACGTTCACTAATAATTGAACTGCATCAAACAGCAGCAGGAATGAGAACCGGCAGCCGTTGTGCTCCCAGCTGCACCAACATGTGACTGTCCGCTGGAAACATTTACTTCTTGATAATGAAGTCTCTTGATATAAAGGTGTGGCTTAATTTTGCCTCTTTACAACATGTGTCAAATGTCCTTTCTATAAAATCTTCAGAACACAAACATTTCCCAAATTGGGATCAATAAAGTACTATCTTATCTTATATATCTCTCTTATTTTGTTTCCACTCTGGAGATTCAGTTTTTGTTAGTTGTGTAGTCACAAATAAAAATGAGGCATGATCAAAAATGGTCATACATTTAACATGTAACGTAATAATAATAATGATGGTAACACTTTATATTAAGGTACACATTCACCATTAACTAGTTGTTAATTAACATGCATATTAGCAGTATATTGGCTCTATATTCAGTATTAAACACTTATTAATGCTTTATTCTATATGACCATATTCTACAAGTACTAGGCCATTAGTAAAGAGTTTTTCCTCAATAACCCTCTAATTAGTGCTTATTTATTGCAAGGAAGTTGTTGTACATGAGTTTTGGTCTTATTATGCTCAATATGGGCCTGATGCGGCAGTAGTACCCCAAGAATAGTAATTCTCTAACACCTATATGATCTATTCTTATGTAACAAGACATGAAACTAAAAGTGTTAATTGTGTCTAAATAACAAAAAATTAGGTATTTCTAACTCAGAATTCCCTATTTTAAAGTGAAGTCTTGTTCATAACAAATAAGCTAGTAGTTTGACTCTAATGTGTTAATTAACAACTAGTTGATAGTGAATAAGTGTACCTTAATATAAAGTGTTACCATAATTATAATAATACATTTAATTTGACAAGAGCTTTTTCAGGTGCTCAAAGACACAGTGGTAATAATAAATAAATACAAAGATAAGAGATTTTAATAAAAATCGAGCAATGAAAGAACATTTTGCACAAGGACACAACATTAACCACCGCCAGTCTGAAAAGGTGAGTTTTAGTCAGTGTAGTTTCTGATGTGTTGTGGGAGTGAGTTCTAAAGGGAGGGGGCAGCGATGGAGAAGGCTGATTCCCAGAATTTGGGATTCTGGGAATCTGCACAGGTCACTCACCCCCACCCCAGCTGCAGCAGGTGGTGATGATGTCCAAACAGTGAGAAAATAACAAGATGACGGATTCAGCGACAGCGCTTTTAGTTTTTGGTCGGAAAAAAAGACTAGATATATGGACACACTTTGTTTATAATTCGGTAGAAAGTAAAACACACTGCACTGTTATTGCGGGAGAAGGAGAGACGCCATGTGGCTTCAAATTAGTTGGGAAGAAAACGACCAACCTGAAGAGGCACTTGAAGGCGCACCATCCTGCTATTTATGCCACGGTAAATTAGCTAACTGTAACGTTACATGATAAATCGTAACTAACTCGTAAGTGGTAACGCTAACTAAGCATATCAATTTGCTAACGTTAAGTCTATGTTACTGGGCAGTCGGCATTGGCAACTAGTGGCAAATGTACTAGCTATCCATGTTGGCTTAGCCTTTCTTGCAAACAAGTTTTCAGGTTTTCCGGTAGCAAATGAATGAGCCTGGCTTCCAGGCTAATGTTGGCTGGGCTTGCATTGCAATAACTATCTAGTCACTGCAATTGGGTGTTTTTTTAAGATTACACAGTGTTAGAAATTAAAATCAATGTTTTGATGGCATAATGTACCTTAAATGTACCTTCAGTTTAAATGCTGTTTTATACTGAAAAACCAGAAAATTATTGTGCACAACCAGATAAGCTTTTATTCTGAAAATCCTTCATCTCCGGTTAGCATGTGGCTAGTTTACCATTTCTTATAAAGGTTAATTTAGTAGCGAAATGACATGGAGTGATGCACACCCAAACCTACTGATTTTAACACTGCAACTATAGAAGTATTATTATTGCTGAATATTGAATAAAGTTATTGTTTACAGACGTGGGTAGGATGTGACAACATCCGGAATGACCAGAAACCAAACCAGCCGTGAAGTATTTTTTAGAATATTAACTACAACGTTTAGAATGTGTTAAAGGAAAAGTGATGAAAGACAATATGAGGAGAAGAGTCGTGTTTAAGTATGTATTGAATGTACAATGCCTGAATCCTCTGTTTAAACGTAACAACGGACATTAAGATGTGGAGGGCCGGCCCGCAGGGAGGAGCCTACAGAAGCTATATAAGAGCAGCACCTGGGCGGTTCGGCCTCTTTTCTCTGCTAGCGAGGGCCAGAGACAGCTGCTTTTCTGTCGGACAATATCCTGTTTGTGACTTTACCACGCCTTTTTATTAATTAAAGTACCAATTTGAAAACATCTCAGAGACTCCATTTAGTCTCCTTTTTAAGCTTCTCTTTCCTGGACGCGAGAATAACCATCACAGTTAACAATTGGTGCTCCGCGACGTGATTCTCGTTGGACAGAAGAGACTACACAACCAGCTGTTTTCCGGAGACGCGGCTTCCGTTCGACACAACGAGCTCGAATACTTGGTAAGAGGAAACCTGTTAAATCAAATTCTTCATAGTTTATGCAGTACAAAATAGGTTTGTGTTGGACGGAGGCCAGCGGATCCTGAAAATAGCTGTGTATTTAATGTTAAAACAACCAAATTTATAACAATAAGAATTCCATAACACATGGCGTTGCATTTTCACAATCAGGGTGAGTTCCAATTTCTTTTTTTCTTATATCTAACCCTGCATGCTATTAATTTGTGTGTGTGTAGTATTTTAAAATATAAATGTGTGAGGCCATTGTACTTTGGGTAGGTGTCTTGTTGTGTTTTCATGTAGGTGTCCCTTGTTACGTCAGTAGTTAAATTAGCCTATGACGTAAGGATATATAAGTCCATTTAACGATTATTGTTAAGATCTATGGGACATAGCGAATTGATTAGGGATCAAGTAATTGAAAACAAACAAGGCATAGCGAATCAACTTAGGGTTGAGTAACTGAAGACAGTGCTAGTCGAAAACAGTTGAGAACTGTTTTAAAAAAGTCCTTTTGAGGAAAGGCTTGATTAAGGTGTAAGCTTTATCAGTGGTCATAACTGTTCTAGTTTCAACCAAGATATTGCGGGTGGAATACGAGATGTGGAGTTACAACAGCATTACGTTAAATTGACGACGGTCATTTAATAGTCGCTGATAAGTTACCATAATACTCCCACCTAGCGTGTCGAAATGGCAGCAGTTGACCAATAGTGGACTATAAAGTCAAATAATACGTAGATAGGTTTATAGCTTATGCGTAAGGGTTCCTAACTTTAAGTGATGATATCAATAAGATAAAGCCCATTTTTTTCATAGTAAACTAGATAGAAATGTTATTTTAAACTGCAGTGTTGTTTTGTGTTCAATTTTCTTGACAAGATTACACCCCGCCATTATTTAAACTCCCCTCTGAGAGCCACGAGGTGTTTTCAAATCCCTTTGTTCTTCAGGTCAAAGGTTGGAAAATCAGTTGCCATCTTGTCTTGTCCTCATGCTGAAAATAAGCCACACGGCAGTCGCCATTTCGTGAAATGCTAATTGAAAGTACTCTGTTTGTTTTGACACACAGTCCCACTCACATGAGGCTAGGCACTCCATATTGAGAAGGACAAATCATATTTATTGGCAGAAGTTGGAACTATAAAATAGACAGGTTATCTTACCGTGGGAAGTTTGGTATTTGTAGGAGTCTGGTTTTGAAAATATTGTTGTTTGCAAGTGCGTATTGGCGGTTTATTTGAGATATTCTTGTTTGCAAGTGTGTATTGGCGGTTTATTTGAGATATTCTTGTTTGCAAGTGTGTATTGGCGGTTTATTTGAGATATTCTTGTTTGCAAGTGTGTTTTGGCGGTTATGTGCTGTGTTGTTTAACCATATTCACATTTTCTTCCCATTTTTAAGGAAATAAGCTTCTTCTTGTTAAAAAGAGGTCAGTTTTGCAACAGCTATCCCTAGTGGATTAAGCTGGAAATTACAACAGCGCACTCTGCTGGTAATACAGAATTATTACAAAGATATTATAACATTTTGAAGCTTAATTTTGAGTGTTATTGATGAACACATTCGCCGGGACAGAATTACAAAGTGGTTTCTAATTAACATATGAGAAACTTTACATCATAGACTTTCAAACTAGACTGTAGAATATTCAAACACCAATTGATTAAATCTAACACAAATTATGACATTTACATAGTTCCATACATTTCAGTATGCACTGTACACAGTAGATTTAGATTTTCACAAGACTTCGATTTTCTTATCTCAAAGTCAAAAACGATACACTGTACAATTTTTATTTTAAAATTTCAAAAAAATGTTATCTTTTAATTTATTAATATTTTACAAAAAAAAAAAAAAAAAAAAAAAAAACTTAAATCATAAAAAAAAAAAAAAAACCTACCCAGATTTAAAGTTAAGTTCGGATGACATAGGATATTATTTATCAGGAACGAAGGTGCTAGTCGGAGGATTAGTGTTTCAATCTTTGATAACTTAATAATATTCATTCGAATAGTTAGAGAACATGTCACCAAAAGAAACTAAATTGAGACTAGACGCAGAGCCAGGCTCAACCGCAGATATCAAGGAAAGGGTAATAATCTGATCAGATGCTTTAACCTTTCCAATTAAAAGAACTATCTGGAGTGAAGATGAAGAAAGATTTATAAGAGTTACAAGTCTGATACTCCATCTGGAATATGCCAGCCTATTGGCACACAGCATAAATGTGGTCCGAGTAGCAGACCCGCCAGTGAGGGAAGACATAGCAGAAAAAACAAGACACCGTAGCTTGTAGGAACAAGACAAGGAGAAGGGAGGGGGAACTTCCAGAGAAGGCAGGGCAGACACCTCCAACAATTCAAGCTCAGGAAGAACCAGAGAATGCAGAGCAGACACCTCAAACAGTTAAATCTCAGATAGTGCCAGAGAATCAGATGCAGAACCACCAACCAGGAGGTTTCCAAGGAGGCACAGGCAGAAGAAGTTTACGGTTTGAGGGATGTTACCATTGCAACCAAATGGGCCATTGGACCAGAGATTGCCCGCAACTACTAAGGCAACATGCACCAAACAATGGCCCTCCATGTAGTTACCCTGGGGGAGGTTTCCATGATTACGACAGAAGCAGGGGGTCTCAGGGATGTCAAAGACGAACAGCATTGCCAAACATGACCCAAATGCCACTGACACCCTGGTATCAACCACAACAATGAGGACGCTCAGAGGGCCAGACCACCAGGTGATGCATCTTCAGCACGAGGGTATTTTGAAATCCAGCTACATTGAGCCATATATGTCGCCACAGAAGGGAGAGGTTTAATGTTTAATGTAAAAACAGAATCGAGAGTAGCATTTGCATTTACACATAAAGCATCCACAGAATAGAACATTTAGCAGACTATTTTTGTAATTATGAGAAGGAAAGAGATTACGAGTGATGTTGTTCCCCCACACAGAAAACTATTGTGTCCACACAGCTAGTGAGGTCAAGACGATGGGGTTTCCACCCAAAAATATGAAGACGGAAACCTAGTACTCGCCCAAGACGGAGGATCCATACCAAATCCTCCTGTTTACACCGACTGCAGTTCAAGGGGCGGCGATACACCTGACGTGGAGCTGTTGAGACCTAAAAACAGAAACTCGCTTCTGCTGTGGTGAAGTCTGGCTACAAAGGGAGGTGTCCGATAGGGTCGCTTGTCTCAAACCAGTGAAGAAGTCAACAAGAACCCAGCAGAACTAGAGAGTGACTGTTAGCGGGAGAACAGTGACAGAGCGACAGAGACTGGCACAACATTTTCCAGCCAGTACATAGATAGACCCCGTCAGAAGACCGGGGCTGTGTTTAAAGGGGAACTTCATTTATTGTTAGTGGAAGTGTAGTTTTTTAGTCAAACAATTATGTGATTTATGGAGTCAGATTACATTTTTCTCAAACACAATTTTATAATCGGTCTGAAGTATCTGTTTTAAGGCAATGAGCTGCAGATTAAATAACATAACACTGATTGAGAGCTTGGATGAAGAAGTTGTAGGGTTTTAACAACAGTTTAAAGAATCAGTTTTTATTTATTTATTCTTGAGTAATTTTACTGATTTATAGTGTAGTGCGTAAGGCACTATCTCATTTTGAGAGAGGGGCACCAGCCCTTCATGTTCTCCTGCATGTCACCCTCTGTGAGAATGGTTCGTATGTTTCCCTCTAGTTTAGATAAATATTATTTTATTATATCTTTGTTCAGCAGTATCAAACAATCCTCTAATCCTAGAATTATTGAGACGCATTAGCGACACCAGGGGTATTGTTTTTCGCAGCAACAATGATGCATAATACCAGGACAAAAGCCATTATTG